ACCTTGAGAAAGGGCATGTAGGTAATTATTATGAGAATAATAATTAAAATAGATAACAGAATTTAGATGAGTGTTCCACACATAGACCTATGTTCCACATGAACTTGACTACATAATGGGTTCGAAATGGCAAAAGTTGGGATATTTTGAACTTTGAGCTCCATTTTTTTTCTCATTATAACTATAATTCTTTAAAATTATTTTACTTTCAACGTTGGGTAGAGCTCGTCAAGGTGATTTGTAGGGTCTTACAAGTTTTATGTCCGAGATATAGGGTGTTAATCAATTTTGTTCAATTCTTTGTGATGACATTACTTTAGAACCACACCCAGTATATTCTTTTGGAATTCGGTACACAATTTATTCTTCTTCTACCCAAGCGACTCACCTTTCAGACACGAGAAAAATTCAGGTCCGCATTGACGAAAATTGATAATATTTCTTGACCCCAGAAAGAACACACCCTGTATTTTCGTATTACCAAAATCCGCTTACATATTCGAAAAGTGCACAAAAAGCTCTGAATCGAATGATCTGCTTTTTATTTTCCCGCATGCTATTTCAAGAATTTCTGATTTAGAATTTGAGGTTCTATACAAGGTGTTTTTGAAATAAGTACACATATTCAGCACATTAATATGGTACAGTCTAAGGAATATTCCCAAGAAATCAGATTTTTTCTAATTCTTCAAATGGACGGCAAAATTGTATCCCAAAAATTGAACAAAATACGAGAAAAAAATCTTGTACGCCACTTTAAAACAATTTAAATGATTGATCTCCACGTGAATGTGCCTACCGCATGGAAATTTGATCAGATTTGCTACAGTGTAGAACTTTGGGTGGAGAAAGGGGTCTAACCTCAAATTTCTCAGTGTTTGAAATATTTGCACTTATTTCAATACCACCCTGTATATATGCATTGGGATAGGTAAAAAAGGAATGTTTTGAGTTTTCCAATCGAATAACATGAAACTGGAACTGGATGAATCTAATTTTCAATTTGAAAGCATTCGACGTTGCATCCCAAAAAATGTTTCACCTGCGTGACATTTTCTGAAAACGGGACCATTTTTTTTGTTTCTTACCCCCTCCCTGGTATACTGAAGTGACGCTCCTGTATGCTTGAAAACTTTGCTCAATTCAAGGTTTGTTCGTTATACAGGCCACCAGTAACGCCTCGGTCTCTAGAAGGCTAACCACTTATCTTCTTGGAATTCTTCCTCTCTAGGAAGTTGCATGTCAACATAGGCTACCATTTGAAATTATTTCAAAACATACAGGGTGTCCCCAAAAACCGCAAAATACTAAAGTTGAACTTTTTTCAATCGAACACCCTATATATTATTTCATTTTGAGATTCTCCCTGGTGAGCTGATTTCAACAATCCATCATACTTGGGGTCTAGCAGTTATATCGTGAAAATCATCATATCTCTCTAGCAGTTATAATTACTGAGATATAGGGTGTGAGAAATCGAGATTTTCCAAGTTCAAGAATTTTTTGTGTCTAAACCATTCATAATTGGTCAAAACGGCTCACATGTCCCTATCTCAACTTTTGATCAACTATCTACTGACATTTAATTGAAACAAATACAGGGTGGTACAGAATTCAGAATCTTGATCAACCGGTATATGTCCCAATTAAATATCAGTAGATAGTTAATCAAAAGTTGAGATAGGGACATGTAAGCCGTTTTGACCAATTATGAATAGTTTCGACACAAGAAATTCTTGAACTTGGAAAATCTCGATTTTTCACACCCTATATTCCAGTAATTATAACTGCTAGACCCCAAGTATGATGGGTCGTTGAAATCAGCTCATCAGGAAGAATCTCAAAATGAAATAATATATAGGGTGTTCGATAGAAAAAAGTTCAACTTCAGTGTTTCATGGTTTTTGGGGACACCCTGTATGTTTCGAAATAATTTTAAATGGTAGCCTATGTTGACATGCAACTTCCTAGAGAGGAAGAATTCCAAGAAGATAAGTGGTTAGCCTTCTAGAGACCGAGGCGTTACTGGTGGCCCAGCCTGTATAGTGTCGCTCAGTAAACTTTCTCATACAGGGTCCGGCATCTCATAGCTCAGTTATCAGTTGAGTCAGTTTTTATTATACAGGGTGTCCCAAAAAAGTGTGACGTCATAATGATATATTTTTTAGATGACATGCCATATATTTTGTTGCAAATTTGAGTGCTTCCAGTGGTCACCTACACACTCCTGAAATTTAATTGAAATCGGTTCAGTTGATATTCACGTAAAAAAATCTTCCTACCACACCAGAAAATTTGCAGCAAAGAATCCTTACGCATTTCAAACCATTACACCCGACCTATTACGAAGAGTGGCAAGGTCATTCCATAATCGTATTCGCTTGTGCCTCCAAGAGAACGGAAGACATATCGAACATACATTTTAATATTTAGGTAATACCGAGGGTAATACTCCTATTTGTTTGTTTTTCAAATGTTTATTACTAGAACTACTGTGATTTTCTATACTTTCATGATGTGTATAAGATTTAGACGAATAGTTCTATTGAATTTCTGATATGTTGTATCAAGCAATTGTTTATCAAAGCTTCCTTCGTTTTTTATTTTCTCAAATGACTGTTAGAATAGTTGATGAAACGAGTTTTCGGCAACTAACTTTTGATACGATGAGAATTTCGATATAGGGTTGTAATGAGAAAAAAGTTTGTTTTTTATTCACGCATCAAAAATCATGAAAATATACAGGGGCTCCAATTTGAAATAAGAAAGATATAGTGCTTTGAAATTTGAAAAGTTTGCCACCAAATTTTGCACACCCTGTGATGATTCGTGTCAATCAAACTCGGTTAGCGATCCTCTTAGGCCTTATTTGATATGTATATCTTATGATTCCAATAACCAGGCACTCTCTTTTTTGTTATTAATGTTTTTGACCATCAGTGGTCAATTTTGTTATATTTTTTTACCTGAATGTCACTGAACCGATTTCAATTAGATTCCAGGAGTATGTAGGTATCCACTAGAAGCACTCAAATGTGCAACAAAATATATGGCATGCCATTTAAAAAAATATATCATTATGACGCCACGCTTTCTTGGGACACGCCCAGTGAGCACACACATCCCTGGGATGTTTTGGGATGTTTTGAAAATGTTGGCATAAAGATGTTATTTTGAGACGTAATATGCACTGACTAAAGAGGTCTTTGAAGGATATTGAAGTATTGTTTTTGTTCTTCTGTGGCATTTCTTTGTTTGCCTACTGAGAGGTATCCCTGGGATGTTTTGCGATGTTTTAGAAATGTAGGCATGAGGATGTTTTTTTGAGGCGTAATATGCACTTCCCAAAGAGGTCTTAGAAGGATATTGAAAGTATTGTTTTTGTTCTTTTGTGCCCTTTCTTCGTTCGCCCTACCACAACGTCTCATGCTTACGTCACAATACGATGAATTCTGATTTGTTTTCGATTTTGTTCTTCTTGTTCGCAATTGGCATTCGCGTTTGCAGCGTGTCACGCTTACATCACGCTGCTAACGAACAAAAAGGAATTTGGTGGAGTTTTTTGCGTTAGAAGACTTACTTAGGTTGTAATAATGACCATCAGATGCAAGATGTGTTGTTCGGTGCCTCAGTGTAGGTAATCAATATATAAAAGTACGAATTCATCAATACACAGCTTCGCCGCAGTTGCAAAATTATGCATTGTGGAGAACATTTCAAAAATTGGGAAACCTATTTCCAATGGGGGAGACCACTGATTTTTTAAAACGACATTATCGTGAACTCTATACTGAAAAACTACAAGTGAATTAATTTTGAATTTTTTTATTCGTGCTAAGACCATGAAAAAAATAAATTAGAATATGTTCATTTCAAAACACACAATTCCTGCGCCATTGGAATTTTTGTCAATTCATTGGTGTGACTGATGCGACGTCTTAGTTCCAACACGCCTATTGCCCTTGAACTGACCAATCACACTGCAACACTGCAGAAAGACGAGGTATCAGAAAGGGATAGCTACAGTTCGGAACTAATACGTCACGGCTCCACGATCATATTTGGCTTTTTGAAATATCGAATGAAATATGCTGATTTTAAAACAATATAGATTCGATTCCCTTCAACTTCAACTCATAATAATGATTGTACATAAAACGTAAATCATGATTCGTCGATTGAAAGATATTTGCACGGATTTCTTTCCTCAGTGTTCTTCCCCGTTATATGTCTGTGTGTAGTAAGCACTACCCAGAAACCGATTAAGAAGGTAATTTCATATCAAGAAAATATTTCAATGTTCAATCTATTTTTAATGCATTTTTTCATTCAAGGAAAATGGAATCCTAATGCAACAGTTCATTTCGACGGAAGGCTTCAGAAAAGTACCTCGAAAATGTTTTTTTACAGAACTAGGGAGAATGTAGTTTCGTGACATATCGAGGACATCTCGATAATTGCCGCCTGCGGCGGACATTGGCTGTTCTATAATAGTTCTATTCATGTGTGAACAGAACATCGCAGTGGAAGTTCAATGTCTCGAAATCTCGTACTTTTAACATCTCTGAGATGTTTTTGTGCTCGCTGGAACCCTGTATAATCGAAATTATTTTCCTGGTATGCGCCCTATGATACAATTATTGAAGTCTGCAAAATATCAAAATTCTGACTCAACTGATAATTGAGCTATAGAAGACGGGAGGTGAGTTGCAGGACCCTGTATAATTATTTCTGTTCATCATAGCGATGCGAAAACAGAGATGGCAATAGAAAAAATATCAAGGGCGGTAGGTGGTGTCAAACACAAACGGATCTTAGGCACCAATCCTCAGATCAACAGGTGGACGCTACTGTCTATTCTATATGCTCCAATTTCAATTTATTCAGCGGTAAATGAGATGATAACATCGCCTACTGAATTTTTATACTGACTTTTCAATCAACCAAATCGATCACAGAATTTCACAGACATTGTCTCAAAAACTTTTTCATTTCAGAAAATGCACGATAACAATAAATATGCTGTATATGCTAAAGACGTCGAAAGATTTCTTGGCCAGATTCAAATTTTGAAAAAGATATGCATGAATGTGGAAAGAGGACAAATGTATGTATATGTTTACCATTTCTATTAATTGGTAAAAAGCAAATAATATAATTTTAGATATGGATTGTTGGGCCCAAGTGGATGTGGCAAAACTACTTTACTTAACAGTATTGTAGGTCGTAAAAAAATCGATGGTGGTGAAATATTGGTGTTGGGCAAGCAACCAGGTGATTTTATTGCCCAAGGTGTGGGAAGAAAGATAGGATTCATGCCACAGGTAGTAAATCTTAATATTCTCATCTGGTTTATCGTTCAGTTATAATCTATAGTAACTGTGTCCAAGATAAGGATGTCTGTCATGGGGATCGTTTCAATTTTTTGTGACCTTATCTAAAGAGATATAGGAAAACTAGATACTTCAAAAGGAAAAAGGAAAGCTCAAAGTTATCTTACCAGTTACCACTACTTTATTAATGAGGTAAATCAATCAGAGGGACATGTTTCGGACTTATAAAAGTCCATCTTCAGCCGTTTTTGGAAGTTACTACAAGCAAAGGCATGTGAAAATATACTTATCATTATAAAAAACCAAAACGTGACTCACATGGAGGTGAACATTATATGTTTTTAAAATGGATGCCGATGTCTATCATCATAATATCGTGATTGTTAATAAATAGTGGTTGAGAAAAAACGGGTTTTCATTAAAAATGAAGGACCCCTTCGAATGCTCGTCAAGTTTCCCTTCTGAGACTTGACTTTTGGTTTCATTAAGTGCGGCACGGGGCCTGTTTTTTGTCAACCTCTATTTATTAACAATCACGATAATATGATGATAGACATCGGCATTAATTTCAAAAACATATGTACATGTAAGTCAATTTTTGGTGTTTTATAATAATATGTATATTTTCACACGCCTTTGCTTGTAGTAACTTCTAAAAACGGCTGAAGATGGACTTTTATGAGTCCGAAACACGTCCCTTTGATTGATTTACATAATCAATAAAAAAGTGGAGATGACTTTGAGCTTTCCTTCTTAATTTTGAAAAATTTCACTCCACTTTGAGCAAACATGGACTTCTACCAGAGATTAAAGACACTTTCTCATTATTGCCACTTTTTAAGCTCTACAAAATTTTCCGTACAACACTTTGTTTCGGAGAAACCATCATCAACTTCACCCATGATAGGCATCTTTTTTTTGGGCACACTGTATATACACAGTGTGTGCGATATCAACCCGCAAGACCCCCCTAATTTGGAACCCGTCAACCGATTTTGAAAATAAAAATTCCATAATATAGTAGTCAACGAGCTCTCTTCGAAAATGTGGACAAATCTGGAATATTCAGATTTTCAAGACCTACTTTTGTTCGTTGAATGGGTCAACATTTCAAAAACGACTATTAGTCATTTCTTTCGAAACAGTGACAAGCTTCTTCGAATAACTGTTAGTTATTCAATGGCAAATTTGGATATTTTTGATTTTTTATTCACCCTGTATGAAAATCTGAGGAGTTGATATAACCGGTGAAGTAGTAGATACAAAGTTTCATCATTGTAACTTCTACAGGAAGATCTCTATAGGACAACCAAAAATTAATTAAATGAGCGAGTGGACTGATAATGAATTATTGGCATTCAATTACTCCACTGTGTAGTTAGAAACCTGAATTAATTTTCACAACATTTCTCACTTTTTTATGTAAATAATAAGTCTATGCGTTGTTCAAAATTTCAGAGCTCATTTCAAACGTAACGTCTTAAAAAATATGACATTGAAAGGTATTTGAGTGATGATTCTATTTGAGGAATGAAAAAAAAAAATAGTCTACTCGCCGATTGAAGTTGAAAAATGCTTTATTATGGTCCATATCTTTTTTCCTGGAAATATAAATGATAGAAACTACAGACAGAGGACATCAGGGACCGGAAATACAATGTTTGTTACATTAATTTGAAGATTATGTCTAGATTAGCTATATAGGTAACTTCTAGATAATGAAAGCAAGATGAATATTCGCGGTAGTCAAGGTCATCATCTGACGTTGCGATGACATGAAAACTACGGGAAAACATAGCTAACTCCAGCATATACGCGGTCTATATCGTTACCATCGATGGTAACGTCTATATCCCCAAATGAATACTTCAAAATAATCCGCTCGAAAATTGGAAAAAATACTCAAAATTCAGTGAGTTTCCAGAGACGCTTTTTGCAGAACTGATACCGTCAAACGGGGCTAAGTGAATCAAAAATGGCACTTTTCACGATATTTCACCGAAAGTAATTGAACAAAAAATATGGAAAAATTAATATAGGTTCTCTGAACATTTCTGTAGCCAATGACATATATATCATAATTTTCCCATCATATTAAGTTCGCCATTTTTTTTATTGAAAGGTGATTCACTTTACCCACCATTGTGGGGTAAAATGAATCAGCGCTTGAAATTCGTCTTTTATTCATGATAGAACAAGATATGGGTAAAGTGAATCGATTTATTTGAAAAAATATTATATTCTGTTGGAAATAAAAAAAATCGGGAGAGAAAAACGAAGTATTTTCATTAGGAAACGGTATATTCAAACATCAATGTACGAATAGATGCAAAACTCATCATAAAAATAAAATAAAAATAAAAAAAACGCAGTTCTTAACTTGAATCTCACTCATAAAATCACAGAAAAATAAAAGAAATTTCTTTGATATAAAAATCTAATCCTATGTAGATATAAAGATTATCACAAAAGAACGAATATGAACTAATAGGAACTATAGAGACCCATTGAAAATCCTCATTCCAGAGTTTGGAAGTCTTCGAAGCTGGTATTGAAGAAATGTTGTCCCCTTTTGACATATTTCAGCTTGACTTTTTTGACAACTTGGTTATTATCAATGAGGGAAATATCCTGAATTTCAGGATAAACAAAATATCCTTTTTCAATTCCTTTCTTCCTTAAGGCATTAATTGTCAGTTCCTGCCCGTCAATATTTTCAATTTTGCCAATGAAGAGTCTCGTCCGCTTCACCATTGGGAATTTGACAATGATGAAGTCCCCTATATCTGGTGTTTCGTTTCCATCATCAGAAACCTCTGTCTCACTTGGCTCCTGTGACTCATCACTGTCATGCGATATGGATGGTCCTGGCCTCGGATCCTCTTCATTTTCTGATTCGGATAGTTTATCTGATATTGAGACGGACTCTTCGCTGTCTTCTTCTGCTACTTGGGTTTTTTTCTTCGATCTGGTTTGTTTTCTTTTTGGAGTTTTATCAATCAGAGACGAAATGATTAGGTCCGCTGTGGAAATGCTTTTTCCGGCTGTAATATTGATTTTTTTCCCTCTTTTAACAGTGGTTCCAGTAGAAGATTTCAATCTTTCCAAGTGTTCTACTATTGATTGAGTCCATGCTTGTTCATCTTCGTTGTCTATATTTACTGTAGGATTGTTTCTTGGCAATTTGTGGAGGACAATATCTGGATTCCAAGGAGAAATGCCACAGGCTTTGAAACCAGCAATAGAGTTTTCCTTAGATCGTATGCCAATCTGTCTCCCTCAGGAGCCTTGGGAATTCCGTTTTTGGTAAGACACCACGATGTTTGATTTTCCATTCTTCCAGAATTCTCCGCCAGCACGCCTTAACAGGTCTGAAGTATGCCACATCGAGTGGTTGCAATAGATGTGTGGAGTTGGGCGGGAGAAGAACAAATTTTATCTCATTATTCGCACACTCCTCTATTACACTCATAGTGATATGGCTATTCAGGTTGTCACCTATAAGGACTTTGGGACCATTTAACTTCCTGAAAAATGGCAGAATGATTGTTCTGAACCAATCTTCAAACAACTCTGAATCAAACCACCCACTCATAGATCTATTGTATCTAGCATTTTCGATGCCGCCTTCCGTCCAACCTTCATATGAATGTTTAGCTTTATACACTGTGTACGGCGGCAATAAAGTGCCATCAGCCGCGATAGCAAACATAACAGTAGTGCTGCTCTTTGAACTATCAATAGTCCTATGTGTGTGTTTCGCTCCTCTTTTTGTGACAACTTTAACAGATCCAGGATCGTCGACGAAATTGGTCTCGTCATAATTCACTATGTTTGAAGGAGGAATGCCTTCTATGGTTTGCCCTAGATTCTCAAAATATTCTTGAATCACCTCATATGATAATGCAGCCCTGACGCGCTTCGTGTTCTCTGCCAACTTAATTGTTAAATCCCGATTTCTTTTCATGAAATTCTTGAACCAGTCCAATCCAGGAAGATTATCTCTGAATCTTCTCTCTACCACCCCCAACTTGTTCAAATATTGTTGCACGATTCCCCTTATATCATTCGATTTCATAGGAAACCCCCACTTTGCGCAGACCTCAAGACTATCTCTGATTCGCATCTCTTGATTTTCGGTGAATACTGGTTGGCGGCCATACTTTAAAGGATGGTGTCCATGAAATCGTCTTTGAATTGTGGAGAAAGGAACTCCATAATGCTCCGATGCTTTTCGCATGGACATGAGGACATGCTACCCCTACGGACCGCCGCCACTGCCCGATGCACATACGCTTTATCATAATTGCATTTTCCCTGGGGCCCTAACTTCCTAACATATTTTCGTGGCATCCTATGAACAAAAAATCAATGAATAAACTGAGACTATATTGAGGGGGGATAGGGTTCTAGGGGGTACTATCAATTGAAATATACCATAACTTTTTTTTGTCAAAAGAAGAAATTGATTCTTGATTCAATCATTAGGTCTAAATTATGATTCAAATCCCATGCAATCAAAGATGATTCATTTTCCCCACTATCTGGTTCATTTTACATAAAGAATATTTTGAATTCTCAACTAAATCGAGACACAATTTTTTTTTTCATGGAATTGGATTCTTAGATGACTGATCAAATCATAACATCAATAGTAGTTTTTCTCAATATAACCCACTCCCCCTCACAACAGTCACAACTGAACGATTTCGGCTTTTAATGACATTGCAAAATAAAGCGTATCCAGAATAAACAGAACGAGCGCTTACCTATTAGCAGAATCGAATGTATACGTATCGCACCACGGCACAGATACAACTGACTAACGAATGGCGTACGAAAGCAACCTTAAAAAGAAAGAATGTCGAGTCTGCGCGAGAGAAACCGTTGAATTAACGGATTGATTCACTTTACCCATACCGATTCACTTAGCCCCGTTTGACGGTACTTTTTAACAAAATATCGAAAACGTTGTTCAAACTTTGAAGATTATTTTCTAGAAACTGAATTTGTGTGGAATGTGGATAGACCAATCTAATTATCAGGCGACGATGTGTAGCCGGGCATGAATTTTTTAATATTGATGAGTATACTATGACCCTTCGAGTTTTGGGAGATAAGAACTAAAATGTAATAAAATGTTTTATCAACCTTGAAGGAAATTGCATTGGTTGGGGAATTCACGGTGAGAGATGCAATATATTACTTTGGTCGGATATACGATATGAAAGAGAGTTTGATTCAATCAAGATATGAGGAACTTAAAAGAATGCTTGACCTGCCACCCTCCAACAGGTGAGGGGACTCTCATTCCTCACGGTTTTCAAATTACGAAAAATATTTTTTTTTTCACAGATATTTGAAAAAATGCAGTGGTGGTCAGCAAAGGAGGGTGTCTTTAGCTGTTACACTTGTCCACAATCCAGAACTGTTGATTCTGGATGAACCTACTGTAGGCATAGATCCACTGTTAAGAGAAAGGTAAACAGGGCTAAACGAAAATTACTTATTTACGTAACAATAATGGATAACCTAATATGATAGCATCGAATGAGATGTCTTCAGACATTTCCCACTATACAGCTGGTGTTTTTCACTTCTGATGGATAAACTCTTGAAGCGAATTCGGCATCTGCAATAATTTTCCCCTAATGTATCAGCATTTCCAAAATTATATTCATGATTAATTGTGTCTTCACATGTTACGATTCAGTATAAAAAGAATTTTAAGAAAGCTTTTTTTTCAAACATATTTCTTCACGGGGATTCATCATACTCTGACAAGAAAATGTCATTGAACTTTTTTTGTGTAGTATATTTTCGTATATTTTCATTTGGATAGATGTATTTTTGTTGTGAAATCAATAGGAATCGAGAAAATCGCGAACAAACATTTTGGAGAAAGATTTTTGACGTTTAAATTGCTGTCAAATGTCTCGCGTAGCCTCCTACCTCGGAGACTTTTGAGACGTTATTATGGGCACCAGACACCAATATTTACCTGAATCACCAATATCAGGAAACAATTATTCTAAATATATCAAAATCCAAATTATGTGGACTACTGGTGAAACCGACATTCAAATTTGGGGAGACCACTGATTTTTTTATGATATTTATTATGTTTGTTTGTGTCCATCCCGAATTTGACCGTTATAGATATGTAACAATGCTGTCGATCCGACACTGGAAACAAGTTCCATCTCATATTGTAGCACAGTTTAGGGAACGTATAAATATTCTCAGAACTGTGATTGTAGTACCGCAATAATATATCTCCAGAATCCTTATGCATTTTTTATTTGAGCTATATACAGGGTGTTACATAATTCAATACAAATATTTTAATGACATATTCCTGGGGTCAAAATAAGACTTTTTTTTTCCTATAAACATGTGTCCTAAAATCCACCCCCTCCAAGCTACAGACATCGCGTGTAATGGTAAGTTGAGGAAAGTGAATCGATTGTGACATGACGGTTATGACATACCACAATGTCAGTTTGGCATGAAAGATATTAATTAATCATTAGTTACCAGAGACAAACATAATCATAGCTCACTAAGTTTTTTTAGTATAATAATTTGAAAATACACCCCTTTCATTTACTAGCGATTTTCTCTAAAACGGTTAGCTAATTCAAGAAAATGCAAGAGACTGAAATGTATGATTTTTTAGTGGCCAATTCAACGATGATGTTTGAATTCAAATTTTTTTGGAGGAAATAGAAAATGTTTGCCATCAAATCTGTATGCAACCCTCATTCACCCCTTTCGATTCGAGTTACCTTATTTTTGAATCAAGAAATGAAAAGATCGTCTAAAAATACAAGTGCCTGTGAATTTTCAAAATATTTGATGCATAATTGTAGCCACAATTCAAAATTTAAGATTTTTTTTGCGCATCTTGCGATGTCTGTAGCTTGGAGGGGGTGGATTTTAGGACACATGTTTATAGGAAAAAAAAAGTCTTATTTTGACCCCAGGAATATGTCATTAAAATATTTGTATTGAATTATGTAACACCCTGTATATATATACATATATTTGATCACTATATAACAATTATATAACAATGATGCACCAATGCGAAGTTCAGTTCTTTACCTAACAAAAGTAATGTGGCTGTAACATTATCAGACTACGTCAAGGACGTATAAAATAAACTACGCCTATTCTATTCATCAAATCAACCAATAGTTATAATAGGTATATCGTAAGATTGACTGATGAATTTATAACCAATATCCATCAAGTGCCGCAGTAGCGTAATGGAATAAGCGTCATTAGAAATAATTAATTAACACCCCCTTTTGTTAGCTTCACCTGTATTGTATGTGTATGTATGTAACCGACTCCTTTGGATTCAATTTTGACCAACTTCAAACGGACCGTTTGATTTGAAGTTTGGGAGGTATACATAGTTCTGGTGGCAATGCATCATGAAATTTTTGTTAAACAAACAAACAAAATGGCGCCTCCAAAATGGCGGACGAGTTTTGTAATTATGATCCGATTCAATTCAAATTTGGTATCAGGGGGTTTTCGGGGTCGGAGATTATGATTCTTTAGTCAAAATTGGTAAATTCAAGATGGCGGATCCAATATGGCGGAAGAGTTTTGTAATTATAATCCGAATCTATTTAAAATTTGTATCTGCGGCTTGTAATTGTGATCCGATTCTATTCGAAATTGGTATCTGGAGGTTTTCGAGGTCGGAGATAATGATTGTTTCGTCAAATTTGGTAAATTCAAGATGGCGAATCCAATATAGCGGACGAGTTTTGGAATTAGGATCCGAATCTATTCAAAATTTGTATCTGGGGGTTTTCAAGATCGGTGATTATGACTCTTTCGTCAAAATTTGAAAATTTAAGATGGCGGATCCAGTATGGCGGACGAGTTCTGTATTGAAATTTGTATTTGGGAGTTTTCAGGGTTGGATATTATGATTCTTTCGATTGGAATATTCGATATGGCGGAGACAATATGGTGGACTGGTTTTGTAACCATGATCCGATTCTATATTGAAAATTAGTATCTGATGGGGATTGTCGGGGTAGGATTTCATGATTCTTTCGTCAAAATTGAGTACTTACAACAAAATTTAAGAACACTAAAAAACATGCTTTTGTAGTCAGCCGAAATAAAAAATAGGTAATAAATTGTAGTTTAAAAAACTAAAGAAACACCCTCTTATAGATAGCCAAACTAAAAAGGAATAGAAAATCAATTAAAAAATGTTTTGATAAATACACAATATAGAATGTACTGATTATGAAGATGCTAATATTTTCTATGTTGTGTATTTATCAACACACTTCTATTATTTTATTTTCTACTTTTTTCTAGTTTGTCTATCAATGGAAGGATGTTTCTTTTGTTTCTTCAACTACTATTTATTATTTCTAACCGAATAGTGTCGGCAGATAATCCAGTTGCCTACTGGCGTATATCATGATTGTGGCCCGCCGATGTTGCCTGTCGGCAGTTTTTGGAGGGATTTAAAGGCCCGCTCGATATATTATGTTTGCTGGGATATGGCGTTAACTCAACAAGTGCGCACAACCCCATTGTAATTCAAACAATTTTGTTTCCAAAAAAATTAAGTAACTGTCTAACTGAGAAACGAGATAATGTTTCTACAAAATTTTCGAACTAGTATGCATAGTATGCATAGTGTAGAAGGCCAATTAATGCAATTTCAGAATATGGAACCAACTACTCCAGTTAACAAGGATCGACAATGTTGCAGTCATAATTACAACACACTACATAGAAGAATGCAGGCAAGCCGATAAAGTAAGAATATTTCATGATTATATTGATGAGGTCAACCGATAATATACATGATAACTGAAATAGACTGTCAAATTATTACTACAAAATATTGCGATGTATTTATATCAATTTTACAATGTAAAAGGTCGAGTTGGCATAGGAAAAAAACATTCAAGAGATTCTGATACTATATGGTCTCATAGGGATTTTTTGAAATCCGTGTGTTGCATTATGAGCATTTGTTTTTTTACTTTTCGCGGTCAATTTTAGTCAAATCGTTTCAGAATTTAGGGCAATTAGAATCTATACAGAGGGTTTCCTAAAAATCGTGGGTTGATTTCTAAGGTGTTTTTATAAAAAAGTGTCTTTAAATTTTTTCCGAAAAATACTTCCTAAGAGGGCTACGTTCCCTCAAATAGGCCAACCTGAAGACGGTTTTTCCTTAATATTTCCGAAACCGATAATTAAAAAATTATGGAATTTTAATAATTTATCAGAATTTGAGCTCCAAATTAGAATATTTTGAACAGTGACTTTTACCATTCTGAAGGAGTTAAGGATAAAAACAATAAATTTTTTATGGCATTTTTTGTTCAAGTTATGATTTCAGAATATGATACCTGGAGATTTTTTTACGTGAAAATGGTACTCCTAGTTAAAATCGATTTGGCAAGTAGTTTTCGAAAAAATCTACATCCTAAATAAGACGGGATTTCCTCAATATTTTCAAAACCGCTGACTGAAATTTGGTACAATGCATGAAATTTTGACGTCAAATTGGATTCAATTACATATCTCTTATCATATTTTGATTACGATTATTTATCAAGGGGGTGCATACTGGGTATCGGTGTGATAAATTGCAATTTTATCGAGAATAATTAGACCTATTTTTGAACCAAGAGTATGTTTTTCACGTTAAAATTATCTAACAATCTAATGGTTCTAATAATTCTAATAAAATGTCAACATTAAAATTTAAATCGCCATAATATAATGAGGTTGTTTTTACCCTCAACCACAGCAGCAAATAGCATCAATAAATCGAGCCATCTTATCATTGCATGAACAATGTTTTTTCATTATGCATCCGTATGTGTAAGTATAGACAATGTTCATACTTGCAATGATTCAACATTGTTCGTTCAATAACTGGTCAGAAAAAGTGAATCTTGACAGGAATCGAAATAGAGCTCACTGGCCATTATGGCAGGCTATTTCAGAATCACCCTTATACGATGTAAGTTCTTCAATTTCAAAAATGATACTTTCAAAATACATTATTTTTTTACTAGATAGCTTTGATTACTGAAGGAAAACTGTTAGCAGAAACATCCCCAGATCAATTGCTGACTCTTTGCCACGCAGCTACTCTAGAAGAAGCATTTTTGAGCTTATGCCACAAGCAAAAATATGGTGAACCTATTGATTTCGTGCAAAGAAACGAATCGAACGGCGATTTATTAACTACCAATACAGCATTGAACGAAAGTGTGGACACTCCGAAATTCACCGAAAAAACTATTTCGGCAAATGTAAGTTTCACGGATTATTTCAACTATGTAGAAATAGTAGGTTTGAATTTTTTAGTTGTTGACAAGTGGTTTGAAAACAATAGCTAATTCGATTAGCACGAAAAGAATGAAAGCATTATTAGACAAAAACTGGAAGCAACTCTACAGGAACTACATGTAAGCTGAACTGAAACAAATGTAAATTATTAACAAGAAATGAGACTATAATTATCATTATACAGTGTGTCCGACTTACCATGCTCACCATGGGTATCTTTTTAACGGTGAGAGATACGAGGTCGGTTAAATGACACCAAATGTGGAGTTTGTCAAGGCCAACTATAATATGAAAAAATATTTTGATAAAATCTATTCATTTTTGTTTTATACGCAAAAAACAGATTTTGATCATTTTCATGTCTCCTCCGACCTCCGTAACTTCTTTATTTATGAAAATATTCAAATAGGAATTTCACATTCTCATGGCAGTTTTTCAAAGTGATTTCGAAAAAAATATGAAATTTATACCAACCCTTCTAGAATTTGAGATATCAGCACCAACTTTAGTTTTTCAAATGTAGGTCATAGCTCACTATGACTTAGTTACAAATAACTTTTTTTTTCTCTTACAGATGATATGTCGCAGTAATAGTTTTGTGTTGATAACAACGGAGTTATCGTCATTTATACAAAAACAAAAAATTATTTGGAAACCGCCATCTTGAATTTATAAATTTTAACAAAAAAATCATGATCTCCGACCTCAAAAACCCCTACTTACCAATTTTGAATGGAATCGGACCAAATCTTGTCCGCCATCTTGGAGCAGCCATTTTTTTTTATTTCAACAAAAATTCCATAATGTATTGTCACCGAAATTATGAACACCTGCCAAATTTCAAGTTAATCGGAGTTATGGAATTTTTGTTGAAATTGAAAAAAATGGCTGCTCCAAGATGGCGGACAAGATTTGGTCCGATTTCATTCAAAATTGGGAAGTGGGGATTTTTGAGGTCGAAGATCATGGTTTTTTTTGTTAAAATTCGTAAATTCAAGATGGCGGCTTCCAAATAATTTTTGTTTTTGTATAAATGACGATAACTCCGTTGTTATCAACTCAAAACTATTACTGCGACATATCATCTGTAAGAGAAAAAAAAGATTTGTAACTAAGTCATAGTGAGCTATGACCTACATTTGAAAAACTAAAGTTGGTGCTGATATCTCAAATTCTAGAAGGGTTGGTATAAATTTCATATTTTTTTCGAAATCACTTTGAAAAACTGCCATGAGAATGTGAAATTCCTATTTGAATATTTTCATAAATAAAAGAAGTTACGGAGGAGACATGAAAATGATCAAAATCTGTTTTTTGCGTATAAAACAAAAACGAATAGATTTTATCAAAATATTTTTCCACATTATAGTTGGCCATGACAAACACATTTGGTGTCATTTAACCGACCTCGTATCTCTCACCGTTAAAAAGATACCCATGGTGAGCATGGTAAGTGGGACACACTGTATAATTTCTATACTCATCAAGTTTGGTTCAATCAGAAAGATGGATGTTTTTCCTACGAGCCTCTATATTTCAGATAAGAATAAAGTGGATGGTATACACTATATTAGTAAACCCGCCAAATATAAATATTCAATAATTATTTCAGAGTTTAGTGACGAACTAATTATACGTTTGATTAGCGATATTTACGATAGAACATTGCGATAGTCAATCACCTTAAATTTTGATTCTGTTAGAGCCGGTTGGATAGAACATTTGACAGACGAATAAATATTTGATTTATTTATATCCATGGCAAACGCATGCTTTAGCTCATGAGCTAGAAGAGTTGATGACTCCTTGACCAATTAATAGAGAGGTCAAATAAGATCTATCTCACTACACGGCTTATTCTTAACTGGAATGCACAAACACAGATATGAGGAATTTACGATTTGGTGCAAAGGGTGTGTAACTTATGAAGCAACAAATCTTCCGGTGAGAAATCAGCATCTTCAATTAACTTCCACAGTACATTCGATATCATAGTAGATTGTTTTATTAGGAACAAAAGTGACACTGATGACTTTACTTTGTTACAATTTGTGTTACATGCATCAGGTATAGGAAAAAGAAGTGGAACATTTTAGGTTAGTGAGCATATCAACAATAATAATAGCGATTATATATTTCTCTCCATATTCCACTGAGTTTGGCTTGGTGATCAAAATGCAGGTAAACAATATCGTTGTGTGAGACAAAAAAGTATTGCTGGCCGTGATTTTTCGAAAAAAAAGTTATCCAATCAATCAGATCTCTAGAATGAATGAAATACAGATCAGTTAAGTATGTTAATCTTGAAGGCTTACCTGATCAAAACAAAAATACTCAGGTATAATATGGTGTATTTATATCTCCAACATATGGGTATGAAATGACAAATCTGCCGAAATCGGGAACAAATCAAGTATGCGTCCCAACCCAAATAACCAACCGTAACAATGATGTTTTTCTGCAACCGACACAAAAGTCGTCCATTCTGATACCAAAATTAGTTCTTGAATTGACGTTTCTATTACTGACACTAAAATAGGTATGTTGCTAGGCAACACATTTAGTTCCTAGGAGTTGTAGTTGAACTTTAGTTCCTAGGAGCTAAAGTTGAAACTAAACAGGATGGTCATCAAGAATAAACAACATTGGTATGGTTGGTTACTTGGGTTGGGACGGATACCTGATTTGTTTCCGATTTAGAGATATAAATACACCTTAGTATGGTCTTTAAGTATTCACACTAGTGTATATAATCAAGGGTATAGTTGAGTATTTTTGTTTTGATCAGGAAAGCCTTCAAGATCCACATACTTGCTTGATATATATTTCATTCGTTATTCTCGTGATGGATAACTTGTTTTTGAATAATCACGGCGGCCAGCAATAGTTTTTTGTCTCAAAAACGATATTGTTCACCTCCATTTGATTATCAAGTCAAACACAGGGTAGTATGGAGAGGAATAAATAATCGCAATTATTATAGTTGATATGCTCACTAACCTAACATTTTCACGTCTTGTTCCTATACCTGGCACCGGCCCGGTATTTGCCATTAGAGCATCTGGTCCATACCCAAATATTCAACTGTGGTTGTATTTATATTGAAACTAAAATTCGAACATCCTTGAAAATTGAATAAACCTGATCTGTTAATGCAAGTAAAATAATATTCTCACCACGCGGATTATTTGTTGCATTGCATACATATGGCACGGCATTGTTGGTTACTTCACATATCTATTTGAGTTAATTGTTTCGGTTGCAGAAAAAATAGCACGTTTCATTCGGATCAAAAATGACTTTGTTTGACTCGCAAATTTTGCTTGCGCTCGGCTTCGCTAATCGCTCCGCCTCGCAAAAGCAAAATTTGCTTGTCATTTTTGATCCTAATAAAACAATCTACTATTATTCTTGACGACCTAGTACATCCTTCTAAGTTCAACTTCAGCTCCTAGGAACTAAAAGTGTTGCCTAGAAACATACCTATGTTTGTGTCAGTAATAGAAACGTCAATTCAAGAGCTATTTTTGGCATCAAAATGGATGACTTTTGTGTCGGTTGCAGAAAAACATCATTTACAACAAATTCAATATGCTGTTTGGATTGAAATTAATGTGTTTTCTATTACTTTTCATTTTCCTACCGCTCGTAGAAAAAATGTTCTATAAACACTGCCATTGAACGAACGAATCGTTATAGGAAAATAACTCTTTCAGGTCTCTCATTTTCGTACTGTTATTACCGATTGGCCAAAAGTTCATCTTCATGAATTCAATGGGAAGAGAAGTAATTGACATTCCACTAGGAATAGTAAATGATGAAACAAAGACGTCTGAATGTTTCAACCATTCATCTGGATCGATCATTCCAAGAGGAAATTTCACTGAATGTCACCTCAGCAATATGAGTTGTCGATTCCTGGACTACTTGGAAGATAGAATGATAAGAAAGGTCAGTGTGTTGTTGAAAATTAAAGTTTCAAATTCATCAGATGATGAAGATGATAAGGCATCAAAATTAACCTGGTCAAACTTTTTAGTTTGATTTTTAGTTTAATTATCACCTTTCGGTAACTCAAGGGCACGAGGGCCCTTGTAAAATATAAACCCGACCCTTAACCGACAAATTTATAACATACTAAATTTATATCGTTTTACAGAGACAATCATGGAGCATATTCCCCTGTTTGTCCTGTTATTAACTATACTATTTGTATGTCTACTATTTTCACTTCCATAACTATGATACTTTCTATTGACTGATGAGTGATGATGGCCTTATATGAGCCCGAAATATGTTCCTCTACGATTGATCTTTGATCATTCTAATAAATGTTGTGGAAATGACTTTGAGTTTTCATCTATGATCCTGATATTACTTATGAAAAGCCTCTAATCGTGATTAATCAGATAAATCAGAAGATAAATAATAAATGCAGATTTATTTTTTAGGACTACTACACATCTATTGAAGAAGCTTATAATGATGCCATGAGTGGAAAAATTTACGGAATAGTTTATCTGTCCCAAAATTATACGAGCTCGCTAGAAGAAAGATTATCGATGAATTTCTTGGATGTTATCCCACTTATAACAGTTGACAGTCGAATAAAAGTTTGGTTGGATATGTCAAGTAAGTTATAAGTTATTGTATTTATAGACCACGTGACTTTGGCACGGCTTCTTGAGAGCATTCATATGAAAATTCTCATTATTATCGAAAAACATTTGTTGAGAAAATTATTTTTATTTTGAAAACTGGAGCAGATGCGTCCCCGAAACGTCCAAAGTGAGATTTAATTTTTGTTCGATATATCTATATGTCTCTTCCTCAAACATTCTTCAAAATAAGGTGTCACTGACAAAGGATTGTTTTTTTCTTTTAGGCTCTCTGATAGTGATATTTTTGGGGCAAATAATCAAATAAACTGTTTTGTCTTTACAACACGTATATGAAATAACACTCATATTTATATTTTATAGAAACGAGATGAGAACATCCCAAAAAAACTGGAAAAATTAGTGTTCCACCTTTAGAAACAGTATTTTGAAGAATTATATTATTAGCAACATTTTTGTTACCTTTGCATTTAAAATATACTTATACTAATACTTTTTTTTTCTTGAAAACATTTTTGGCCATAAAAGCGGGGTAAAGTAGTGTTGTACTCGCGTGTTTCAATTACTCACTTTCCCACACCTGTTTGGAAAAAAGTGTGGTAAAGTATTAGGAGTATTCCCGACCTTCGTATTTTTCTTCGTACTTCAACTGCCAGTCTAGATTGTCTACCTACAAACTGTCATATTCGTTAGTATACGAAGGGAAATACGAGGGAACTTTAATACAATTATTGAGTAAATAGGAATTATAACACAAATGTTCTTTCCAGATATGGAAATAGGAACGATGCTGCAACAAAAAATATTCAGCAAGTATTTGGAATACCAGGAATCCCTGTATAAAGATTGTAAATTTGCTCCTGGTTCAGGAGATTTGCCCATACGCATTGATACCATTTATGGAGAAATTACCGATGAGTACCTGGTGTACATGGTACCTGGAGGACTGATAACGTAAGTGATGGAAATACTAATAACAACAATTTTATTGTTAGCAATGTTAGAATTTTAGTCTGTATAGCTAGTATTGTAAATTTATTATGTTATTGCTTTTGAGAAGAATACAACAATAATGGGGAAGTTTCCTTTATTGAGGTTTTTATCTCGAAATTATCATATACGTATTTTTTCTTTTCTTCGTAAAATCAAATTTCACTTCAGAAAAAAATAAATAAAAGAGGAACTTAGCTCCTCCACCATTCCTATGACGTACTTTCTGAAAATCCACATTTACACAGAGTTAAAATACGATTCCCTGTGCCAGTACGACGTTGCCGTTCTTTGAATGCCTAATAACTATATCATAACAGCAAATGGGATATAATAGGTTCTTCAATCCTACTTTGTCAATTATTATGAATAATTCCCATAAATCTCTCATTGGCAGAATGAAGTTGATTACTAATAAAGATAAATCATGATATTTTCCGATAGAATCTATAATTTTTCACTATCGTTATATTACAATATGTTATTCATAACTTGCCAGTCATTTTTTTGGTAATGAATTCGTTCCTTAATAAAATGGATCTATTGTCTAGGAAAGCTGCATATTATATCTGGCAACAGCGCCTTATACTTCGAGTAGTTCGAGTCCGTCCACACCACTCAAAATACTGACAGGCAAAGCAAGAGGAAGGAGCCATGGGTGTCGGCTTCATCTGTTCTGACCGATGGCAGTAAATTAGGAAGGATAGTATCAATGAATGTAGTCGATAATGATTCATTGATTCAATGATATCTTCGTTTAGGATTGAGCTCTATTCGAGATATTTCAATGCATAAATAACAAAACCATAACCTGTCAGAATGAAGCCAACTACCTTCTGCATTTCTGCTCCGAGTGCATTGTGGTTATGTATGTTTTTGTTCACCAGTTTGACTTCTTCTTCTATTTTTTTCATCCGTCAGCTATTCGCTAGCTATATTCTTCACCTATTTTCAGACTAGATTCAGAATGTACGTCACAATTTGCCGTCCCGAAAATTAGAAATTGCTTCAATTTGAAAATGAAAACGACTTGGACTTTATCGGTCGCCATTCTGTACAGCGTGGACATAAAACTGGAGAGTTCCGAACTTATTTGATGAAAATTAATCTGAAGGAAACTTCCCCATTGTTCAACTTGTATAAAAAATCTCAAAACGAAAATTCCATAATAATTGTATTTTTCAGAATGATATTCTTCATCTGTGCCTCCATGACTTCCCAAATCATGGTATCTGAGAAACACGAAGGAATTTGGGATAGATCCATAATTGCGGGTGTGAAAACTATAGAAATAATTATTACCCATTTCATTATTCAAGGATCTTTAGCGATTATACAAACTATTGGGATGTTGGCTATTGTCTATGGTTTTTACCAACATAATTACATAGGTAACATGTGGCTGATGTTTTTCATCATGTATGTGGACGGAATTTGTGGAATGTCTTTTGGTAAGTGGCACATTCCTTTGAAATTTTAGACTTTTCTGTTAATGTTGGAATTTTTAGGTTTTTTTGTTTCTGTTATAAGCAGCAACCAAACTATGGCTAACATTACTGTTACTGGAGTTTACCTTCCTATGATGCTTCTATGTGGTGAGTTCTTCTTAAATGAAACGTAGGTGTATGGTGTATGAATGCTTATTATACAAATATTAAAAAATTCCCGGCATATAGAATTTCTAATGAATTTGAAATATATTTCCCCCAACCACTCGACCAGCACAAAGTTCAACAGATATAACTACGCGATGGAGGATCAACTATTCAAATGTGTCACTGTTCTTACTCTTGCAGGCTGTTTGCCTCGATCACAATTTACGTGTAGATTTGCCGTTTTAGCAATTTTGAATCTAAATCTAGCGTTTTTAGGGTAGGTCAAATGCGATATTTGAACTCGATTTGCGACGTGTCGGAATTCTATCGCCAAATTCTGAAAAAAAATGCGTACTTTGGTAATTGTACTATATGGGAATTGGGATTAAAAATCGAATCAACAACGAAAATACTACTTGAAAAAGTGCCACAAAGTGCCCAACACAGAAAATATATGTGAAACGTACAAATTACCGATTTTTGATCAATATGCAATTAATTACTGCCCTGGATGTTAAAAATGATCAATTTAATTTCACTCTGATTGATAATACTCTTATTTACTTTGTCAAACACAACAAATATCGATTTCCACATTCCTTCTAGTTTTTAAGATGAACAAGTACTTACTATCTACTTACTATGAATTGCTTCCGAACTTTCTAGTCCTTATAGAAATGACAAAATATAATAAATCTGTTTCAAACAAAATACTGAATAGCCAAGGAGTGCCCCAGGGTAGTGTCCTAGGACCATTATTATTCATCATATATCTGAATGATATTAATTATGTGCAAGGCTATGATTTTTTGAATCTTTTCGCTGATGACACCCTGATTGCTTGCTATGGAGATAACTTGAATGAAACTGTAACGAGATTGAATGGAGTTTTGAATAATATTGAAAAATTTTTGAACATAAACAAACTGAAGTTAAACATTTCCAAAACAAAGGCTATGGTATTGAATAATAGGTTCAAATTGTCAAATATAAATTACAACACAATCAACTTAGTACTTGAAGATGAAAGGGTAGAATGGGTACACGAATTCAAGTATTTAGGATGCATAATTGATGAATGTTTGGAGATGAAGTCTCATTGTAAATACATCTGTAATAAAATTTCAAAAAAACTATATTTTTTCACAAGAATTTCTGCACAACTTTCTCTATCTAGCCGAACAACTGTATATAAAGCGATAATCCAGCCACATTTTGATTACTGTTCTTCTATTTTATATCTTCTACAAAAAAATGAAATCCAAATATTACAAAAATTGCAGAACAGAGGAATGCGAGTAATTTTACAATGCAACAGATACACCCCAATAAAAACGATGCTCGCAGCATTGAAATGGCAATCAGTAGATCAAAGACTGTATTATATGGCCATGCTATTTGTCTTTAAAATCACAAGGAATATGTTTCCTGATTACTTCAATCAATTTGTTACATACAACAATGAACTCCATAACTATAATACACGGTCCGTACATAATTTTCATATCAATAGGACAAAGCTGAAGAGTTCAATGAAATCTATATTTTTCAAAGGATTGAATGAATATAATCAATTACCAGAGGAAATAAAACAATGTAATACGATATATTGCTTCAAAACGAAATTGTTATCATACATTCTATCAAGAGATGGCCAACTCTAATATTAGTTGTTTTAAGGCACTTTAAATTATTTGGCTGTGGCTATATTTTTATTACTCACTAATGTCATTTTATTGTTTGTTTTTTTAATAATCACATTTTATTTTATATTAAATCTTATATTTATTCTTAATAATGTATTTCACTTAAGTTTAGTAACTGATTTTTTAACAAATTGTGTTTTGTAAATTTTATAATATGAAATTATGTATGTATATTAGGGTATCCTATTTAAATAAATACTACTACTAGAATTATCAGTCAGTGAACCCCTATATTTTTGTCACGGAAATGGATCTTGTAAACAATACAAAATAGTCAGTTCCTAAGAATTATTGTCTACAGTGTGTCCCACTTACCATGCTCATCATGGGTATCTTTTTAACGGTGAGAGATACGAGGCCGGTTAAATGACACCAAATGTGTAGTTTGTCAAGGCCAACTATAATGTGGAAAAATATTTTGATAAAAACTATTCGTTTTTGTTTTATACGCAAAAAAACAGATTTTGATCATTTTCATGTCTCCTCCATAACTTCTTTATTTATGAAAATATTCAAATAGGAATTTCACATTCTCATGGCAGTTTTTCAAAGTGATTTCGAAAAAAATATGAAATTTATACCAACTCTTCTAGAATTTGAGATATCAGCACCAACTTTAGTTTCTCAAATATAGGTCATAGCTCACTATGACATAGTTACAAATAACTTTTTTTTCTCTTACAGATGATATGTTGCAGTAGTAGTTTTGTGTTGATAACAACGGAGTTACCGTCATTTATACAAAAACAAAAAATTATTTGGAAGCCGCCATCTTGAATTTATAAATTTTAACAAAAAAATCATGATCTCCGGCCTCAAAAACCCCCACTTACCAATTTTGAATGGAATCGGACCAAATCTTGTCCGCCATCTTGGAGCAGCGATTTTTTTTAATTTCAACAAAAATTCCATAACTCCGATCAACTTGAAATTTGGCAGGTGTTCATAATTTCGGTGACAATACATTATGGAATTTTTGTTGAAATTAAAAAAAATGACTGCTCCATGATGGCGGACAAGATTTGGTCCGATTCCATTCAAAATTGGTAAGTGGGGGTTTTTGAGGTCGGAGATCATGATTTTTTGTTCAAATTTATAAATTCAAGATGGCGGCTTCCAAATATTTTTTTTGTTTTTGTATAAATGACGATAACTCCGTTGTTATCAACACAAAACTATTACTGCGACATATCATCTGTAAGAGAAAAAAAATTTATTTGTAACTAAGTCATAGTGAGCTATGACCTACATTTGAGAAACTCAAGTTGGTGCTGATATCTCAAATTCTAGAAGAGTTGGTATAAATTTCATATTTTTTTCGAAATCACTTTGAAAAACTGCCATGAGAATGTGAAATTCCTATTTGAATATTTCCATAAATAAAGAAGTTACGGAGGAGACATGAAAATGATCAAAATCTGTTTTTTGCGTATGAAACAAAAACGAATAGATTTTATCAAAATATTTTTTCACATTATAGTTGGCCTTGACAAACTCCACATTTGGTGTCATTTAACCGACCTCGTATCTCTCACCGTTAAAAAGATACTTTTGGTGAGCATGGTAAGTAGGACACACTGTATACAATATCAGAGTAATATATAGCTAACGATATATTTTTGTTAACTTTAATATCTGAAGTGAAGTGCACGTCATATATTTATGGATTTTTTACCAACGATTTCAATTTATAAATCAATTTCAGGTTTGGTATGGCCAATAGAAGGGATGCCTTTAGGACTTCAATACTTTTCAAAATGTCTTCCTTTCACATTAGCTATCGAATCGTTCAGAAATGTTGCCAAAAAGGCATGGTATTTGGACAATTTACAAGTGCTGCATGGGATTGGAGTAGCTGTTTTATGGACATTTATATTTGGCATTTTCAGCCTAATTGTGATCAAAAAGCAAAGATGAAGTGAACATTCATTTTAGTGTTTTTGATCTGAGAGTTCCATGAATGTATTATTTACCTGAAGTACTGAAATATCCATAAAATCCTGTGAAACTTTTTTCGAAATGAAATATTTATTTTCAAGTAGAAATTTACGAAGTATAAAAATAATTAGATATTCTATGTGACTAAAAACTAAAAACTATACAATATGTTTATACAATAAACATACAAACGACAAAACTTAACTGGTATTTTTGGCACCTCTACTTCTCCTACAAATAACCAACCTAGGTTTGTACAGATCTTCACTTGAATACCTTTGAGAAGCTATAAAAATAATAATGATCAGAGATGTATCTTCTGAAGTATTAGGATGTTGCAAATATTTCGGAAACGTTAGAAAACTCATAAATTTTCCTATTCTCCATTCTGCTGTTGACTCATGAAAATTTCACATAATTTTATTCAAAATAGATAATTCATTATAAATGAAAAAAAAACATTTTCGTTTCATTCACTAAATCTATAACAATAACAGAAATAAGATACAATCATTCTACTTGAATTGCAAGAGTAACAGAAAGAAAAAAGTGAACACATATTTGGATCCGATATTTGAAGAAACATTCATTTCTTGGAAACGATTTGATTCATCTATAAACAAATATTTCGGAAATGATCGCAACAGTCCTGGATATGGAAATATTCATAATTCACATCTCTAAGCATAGAAAACATACCTCTAATGCCTATCCTTTTCCGTTTCGCAGGAACCACAATCTCTTCTTCTTTTTTATCATTCGATTTGTCACTCTCGGCTGGACTCAAGGGCAATGGAAAACTGTTATTTTGTAGTATATCTTGAAAGAAATAAGCAAAATAAATACTCTTTATTAGGTATTCATTCTACGAACAACATGCATATCATGTAATTTAACTGGTTAGTTTGAGAAATAATAGAGGTTAAGAAGGGGGGTTAAAAGCAAATTCAGCAGAAAATATTAGAAATACCTGAGGTATTGCACATTTTGACAGCCTTTGTGTTGGCTGAATTTGAACCTGGCGGTCTTCCCCTCTTTTTCACTTAAAATACATAATACAAAATCAATATTTGATTAATCAATCAAAATACTGCTTCATTTATTCAACTAAATAGTGTTTTCATGAGAGTATATGTTTATTATACATGGTCCGAAAATAATGTCTTAAATGTACAAACATCCTAGAGATGGAAAATACACCAAAGGATATGAGCTTCTCTTTTAAACTATAACTGAAGAATTATCTGGTTTAGATAGAATTACGTGGATTGAAATAATCATTTAAAAAATGTACAGAGCTATGGAACAGTTGAATGAACTAAGTTGCGTAGATTTAAAGAAAAACTTAGACACGTCGATTTTCGTTTGGAGGGGGATAAGATCTTTGAATCCGAAAACGATTCAGCAATTCCGTTAACCACTTCAAGACAGGCACCATCATTAACATCCTATATGGATCAGATACAATGAATGAAATCCAAAATTCATAAATAATTTGGTCATAATGCCATGAAATTTACAATGTGGTGAAATAGTAATAATGATTATTCATTCCTTCATTTATTTAATTTTTACTCTTATACAGGGTGAGCCATGAGGAACTGTGTATACTTATATACATAGGAATAGGGGAATATTGATTGGGCATCAGAAAGTGTCTTTCTCACTTTGATAACATATAGGGTGATTTATAGATTTTGCTGCAACAATCATTTGGTCGTAACTATCTAAAATTCCATATGTCTCATTCTTTCATGGAACAATATATCGTTTTTTCTGTGACGGGAAAAAAGTTTGGCATTTCATCCCTGTTGGCAGGTTATAAAATGTCACTTTTCATAAATTACTTTTTTCCCGTGGGAAAAAAGTGAGTACTTTTTTGCCGGATATATATCACATATATATACACTGTAGATGGCTTTTGTTGTGCTATAGTCCTTTTATCTTCCATTCGACTTCTCGGTTACGTATATTACTAAATAACCACTGAATTCGCAATTTTTTTAAATCATCACAGAATTAGACTGACAGAAGTGACATCAGATATTTGATTACTTCAAAAGAATGATAAAGATGCCTACAACGCGGTGTTGTTAAAAACTTGAAATTTCACGTCGATAATTTTCAGATTTCAAAATAAAGTAATATCTTCTCAATATTGATTCGTCCTTCCTTCTGTCACAGAAAAAAATAGTTTATTATACAAGGGAAAAATATTAGATTTTAGCTCACAACCTGGAGCTAAAATCTACTACTTTTTCCCTTGTATGATAAATAACTATTTTTTAATCGACTGAGGTATTCAGAATTGTGAAAATACTGGACCGATCCTAGATGATTTTGTTTATCAAGAGTTCTACAAGTTAACTCACTTTCCATGAATTTTTCACAAAATTTACAATTTTGGATAGAACCGAAGGTTTAGGGCAACAAAAAATGTAAATAAATAGGAACTTCGTGATGAAAAAAATATTTCATATAATGCATGCCTCTTATTTCCAGAAGAAGAGTTATTGAACAATAACAATGCTCCAAATCGTCAAGTAACAATTTAAATTCAGCCTGTTCTTTATCATCTGAGGATTTTGACGTATAAGAGGGTGCTCAAAGTGTCATTCGATTGTTTGATTGCTTATAAAAATATAGGTACCTACATCAGGAAATCTTTGAATTTTCAATAAATGCTGTTATCAGCATAATTTGTACTAATAAGACGAAATTTGGCCAAATAATACCTTTGTTTAATAATGATCTTTTGTGGTGACTTGTGTAATTTAATCACAATCACCAATGAAAATATGGAATTCTATGCAATTATTCAATTTTTTTTCAAATCTTACACCTCATTTTGAAACCTATCGAGTTTCGTCTATTGCAAAAAAAACACGAACTATCTATGGGCCCACACTATATCTCAAAAAAAAAGTATACCCTATTGTTGAAACCGTATTCATCGAAAACGAAAATTCTCCCTAGTCAGTTTTCAATTGAAGCTACGGTATTCGCGAGGTATTCGGTAAGAAAATTCCACACCGAAATTTAAAAAAAAAATAGTATGACAAGATTACGCTAAATTAATTACAAAATACCAACTTTAGTTAAGAAAAAATATCAATAAGGCAGCTGGTGGTAGTTCAAACTATTATTCTTGACTAACTTTATTCCACTTAAGTTGGTGGAAATATATTTTGATATTGTTACGTTGAATAATACACAGTTAACTTTCTTTAGTTACCCAAAATAATAAAAAATAAGTCGATAGTAGCTCAATCTCTCAGTTTTTCACAAATTTATTTAGCTAAAGTTGGTAGAAATATACTTTCTTACAAGGAACTTATCTACTTATGAAATGAATTTGACGTAATCTGAAGTTAAATGTAAATGTTATTTTACCAATAAACGTCAAAAAATTTCCAGGGTAATTTCAAGCTCCTTCCCCCAAGGAAGAAAACATTTCCAGAAATGTGTTCAGTTGCTATGGCAATGATACAAAATTGGTCGAAAAAATAATATCACGAGAGCTCGGGAGAATTTTCAAAATATTCGTGTTCTCGAAAATATTTTCGGATATCAATTGAAACCAAAGTGGTATTCGGTAAGAAAATTTACATGTTGATGGTTGTTTGTGATGAAATGTAAGAACTAACGTATAGTAACAACATGTGTTTTTGTAAATTTCGAATTTGCAAGTATACCTACCTAATAAACTGTTGATAAATAATTTTTATTTATTGACTTATAGAATTGACTCGAAATAATCTGAAGTTGAATGTAAATGTCATTCAATCCATAAACGTCAAAAAATGTCCAGTGTAATTTCATGCTCTGTCCCTCAAGAAGGAGAAAAACATTTCCAAGAAATTTGTTTAGTTGCTATGGTAACGATACGAAATACAGGCTTTAAATTGATCAAAAATGTTTGGTGTGAAATTTTCATATGAACACTATGATAATGGGAAAACGTAGGAACGTAAATGAAATAATAGAACTTCTACGATCCACATATGGTGACCAACCACTTTATTTCTGCGGAAGATAAACGTATACTGATATACGAATTCTATTTTATATCACCTCAACCTCAATTATTCATTTCAAAACATGGAACAGAACAATAACATAACAATAACCTGACAAATATTATATACAAAATAATACAATACAAAAGTGGCAAATGCTCACATGAGAATGAAAGTTTAGGGGTCGGTAATTTGATATTTTCAGAATTAGCTGATTCATTTGTATAAATACTCTAAATTTTGAAATGCATGCTTGAAATCCTCATAATACTGTGGCTTTTTAAATCACATTGTAGTATGTAGATGTTTGAAAAAATTGTTTTTGAAGTTCCTCATGACTCCCTACACAATTCATTAAATTATATTATCAACTCCAAACAAAACTCTTTCCAGACAATTCTTCAAGTTGAATAAAGATTTTATATTTTGATATTTGCAGTGTTTCAATTCAGAAGTTCACTCTTGAATTTACCACTTCAACAATGGTGAAAATTACAAATTCCATTTATCAGTATCAAGAAATGCAAGCAAGACTCATTCCAGATTTCAGGTGAATGCTAAATTATCAAACTCAATTTAATGTTGATTAAAAGAACATTGGAATCTGTATGATTGTATGATGATGTGTAGGAGGAAAAATTATTGATTGAAGCAAGACTATGGTATAGGTACAGTTGGAGCCATGATAGTATTGTTCATACATTCTAATATTTCTAGGACAGTTGTTGGAAAAAAATATTTTGACAAGGTCTCTTTTTGTGTTTTGACCCTTAAAACGTTATGAAATATCTTTGAATGTGGAAGTTTTAGGATAATTATTTGATCTAACTTATTCTGGCATGGAAACAAATTGATCAGCATCAAAAAGATAATGAAAATTACTGATTTTATTCCTTCTTCTGATGAAACACCCTATAGATTTTCACACAATAATCTATAGGATACAAGGGACATTATGATATACTTCATACTTTTTGACAATTGGGCCTTGGAAATGGTCTTCTGTCACCAATTAAACAAAATAAATGTACAACCTTCAAACAAAAAAAAAAGAATTCTGAAACCAATATCTCTTTTCAAAACCAGGTCTCTATTATTATCATTCAATGAAAACTTATGCAGGTCATGCATGTCCTTAATTCATATTCAGAAAAAAAGTTGAAAAATGAAAGCTCCTCACCTGTTGTTTGTTCAAAGTAGGATTTATTATTATTCTTTTGATCAATAAATTCCTCAAATTTCCTCTTTTGTCCTCTTCCATAATGAACATTATTCTGCAGCTCTGTTTTACAATCTTCTATTTCTTTCTCTAACTTCTCAATAAACTTGTGAATATACTGCAAATTCCTTTCATCCCTTGAACTTTGCTGTTCAAGGTATCTACATTCGTTGATAGAGTATTGAGTTTCAATTTCTTCATTTACTTTATTGATATTTTTTATATCATTGACATCAAGTATCACAGACAACTGTTTGAAATTGTTGTTCAACTTAGTCAATTGCTTTGGAGGATCTTCATTTGTTTTCACAGGAGTTTTAACCATTTCAGAACCAGTGAATCCACAGCTCTCCAAATTTTGTGAAATTCCACCATCAAAATAGCTTTTGAAAAAATCTGTTGGGTTCCTTTCAAATTCTTTCAGCTCAAAACCTTTAAACTCTATAGAATCATTCTGACTGTTCTCAGAGTTATCTTCAATGTTTTTACTAGTGCTCTTATCAAGGTTCATATTTATCTCCTTACTTTTCTTTGGACTCAAATGAGTTGTGCTTGATCCCAAGTCATCAAATTCATCATAGCAGTTATAATTTACATTGGACATCTCTTGGGCCAGTCTTGCTTCTAGTGCTTCCCAATTCTCTTGGCTCAATTCAGTACTTTTCAAGGGCTCATTTATAGATGAATCTGGTATTTCACTATTAATGTCAGCTTGACCAGTTGTAGATGTTTTTCCATTATTTTTATTTACAATAGTGGTATCATCCTCATTTTGCTCAGTTGAGTGTCTTTTGTCTGCTTTGTACATGGCATTTTCTGTAGATCCTTGAACTTCTGTGAAACCCAACTCATTTTCTTGTTCCAATTTTGACAATCTTTTCCTTATTTTCATCAGTTTTGTTGCCTCACGGAAGTTAGAGGCAAACTTTGGTTTATTCAGTTTCAGTGGCTGTTTGGCTATCTGAACAAGTCCTGAGTTTCCTTTATCAGCATTCTTAAGATCACCTGAGGAAGTGCTACTTGGAGCATCTAACACAATCCTGGCAGAAATGTTTTGTTGATTCTGTCTCTCCAGTTTGGCCAATTGTTTCCTTATTTTCATCAACTTTCTGGCTTCCTGGAAGTTTGAGGCAAACTTAGGTTTGTTCAACTTCAATGGTTTTATGGTATTTGTTCCTACAGCTGGTTCTGATGATAATTCAACTTGTTCAACAGAGTTTCCAGTATCAACAGGTGCCTCATTAGAAGTATCTTGTCTCTCTACATCATAAGATATTCTCAACTGATTTTGTCTCTCTAATTTAGCAAGTTGCTTTCTTATTTTCATCAATTTTCTTGCTTCTTGGAAATTTGAAGCAAATTTCGGTTTTGTTAGTTTTAGTTTCAGTGGCTGCATACTCATTGCAATTGGAGGATCTTCTTTCACAGACTCTGAAGGTAACTCAGTTTGATGAGATATTTCAGAGCTGTCTTGAACTTTTGATGCAGTTGAATCTCCATCAACATTTTCTGCCTGAAAACTGTTTAGTTGATTCTGCCTCTCCAATTTTGCTAGTTCTTTTCTTATTTTCATTAGTTTTCTTGCCTCCTGGAAGTTTGAAGCAAACTTTGGTTTTGTTAATTTTAATGGTGGTACTTTATTTGTTATTGTTTCTTCATTTTTAGGAGGCTCTGGAGTTGATTCTACTTCATCAGAATTCCCAGATTCCACTGGCCCACTGCTACTGGAGAATTCATTATCATTGTTCTCCATGAGTGAAGAACTGGTTTCAGGAAATGAATTTGTAGAATTGTTTCTACTTGACTGGCCATCATTTGAGTCTCTATCAGTAGATCGCCTATCACTTTTTTTTTCTTTGGAACTGTAGTGATCATCTTTTGATTGTTTTTTAGAATCACGTTTCCTGTCTCCCTCTTTTTTTGACCTAGAATGTTTGCCATCAGTGGTATTTTTATCTTCCAAGGATTTTGACTTGTTAGTTTCATCAGTTTTTGGTTTGTCTTTAGTACTGGAATTTGAAGATCTAGATTTATGAGCACTTGAGGATTCTTTCTTTGAGTTTGAACTATTCTTGGACTTGCTGCTGGAAGATTTACTTTTATCTCTGTCAATATCCTTTTCCTTTTTGGACTTGTCTTTTTCTGGTGACTCAATTTCACTTGTTGATTTCTCTTTCAGAGGCCTCTCCTTATCCCTGGTTTTCTCTTTCTCTTTAGATGAGCTACTTTTTTCAGATTTCTTATTTTCTTCCCTCCTTTCATCACTTTTGGATGATTTTCCTTCATCAATTTCTCCTTTTACTTTGCTTCCCTCCAAATCAACTTTATCTCTATCCTTCCCTGATTTCTCTTTTGATTTAGATTTTCCAACTTCTTTAGATTTTTCTTGATCTTTCTCTTTTTCTTTATGCTTCTCAATATCTGAACTTACTTTATCAGACTTATTCTCATCATTATCAGATTTCTTTTTTTCTTTATTAGATTTTTCCTTGTCATGAGACCTGTCTGATTTGTCCTTCTCTTTATCTTTACCTGATCTATCTCTGTCTTTATCTGACTTTTCTTTATTTTTCTCTCCTTTTATCTTGTCATATGTGTCCTTTGTTTTTTCTTTATCTTTTGAGGATTTTTCTTTATCTTTTGAGGACTTTTCTTTGGCATGTTTATCTGACTTGTTTGATTTTTCCTTATACTTTTCTTTTTTATCTTTTTCTTTGATGGAACTTGAAGAGCTTCTTGAATCTTTCTTAGATTTATCTCTTGATGAGGTAATATTATCTTTAGAGGAAGATTTATTTTTATCTTTACTACTACTGCTTTTATATTTATCATCTCTTTTATCTTTGTAAACATGCTTGTCAGAGCTCTTGGAGCTTTTAGCATCCTTGCTTTTATCAGATTTTTCATCAGTAGCAATCATTTTATCATCCTTTTTCATTCCTGCCATGATCTTTTCCTCATTACAATGATTGCTGTTCTCATTTTCACCTTTTGTATCATCAGAAACATCATTGTTCATACTTTTATCATTACTACATGCATTATTAGTCCCTTCAACTTTATCAACATCCAAAATATCAGATTTTCCTTCACTTGCTTCTGATTTTTGATAATGTGTGAAGGAGTCCTCACAAACATCCATTTTTGTCACTTCTTCTGGAATGATGATAGATAGTCTACTATCTGAATCATTCTGGGATACTTGAGAATTGGGATTTGACAGGTCTACCTGTATTATTTTAATATCACTACAGTGATTGGACTCATGACTTTGGAGCCCTGGAAAAAATATTTGATTATGAATAGTAATTATTAATATATTTTGTTGTTACCTGAAAACCCAGATAAATGAGAATCTACAGAATTATCCTCTGGGGGCAGAGATTTTGTTTCAATTAGAAGCTCAAATGGTGGGCTTTCATCATCATCAGCTTTTGAATTAGAATTCAAGGAATCATTAAAATTTTCTATCTCTCTCATTTTCTCATCAGATTTGAAACTATGAACTGAATCTGGAGATACAGCTTCTAGATCTTTAGGCAATAATTCAGATATACCAACATTCAATTCCGTTTTGGTAGAATCTCGAAATGGTTTTTCAATCCCAAGGAATTTATAAGAAACATCCTCAACTTGAGGAAGAATCACTGTGTTAATTTTGGGGTTTACTACCTGTTCTACAATACGTTCTACACCAGTTTCTAAATAGCCTGACCTATAAGTAAACAGAATTAAGTCACATTCTTTTCTTTGATTCAATATTCTCTTACTCATGTATGTTCTTGCGCAGCTGCTCTCTCAGTTGGTTCTTAATCATATCTGGTCTCCAAGTCTGTTGCTTGAGAAATGAAGTTACACTGCCTTCTACTCTTTGTCTCAAATTCTGGTAAGCAGGCTTAGTATCTACATCTGCGATGCATTCTCTACGAAGTTGATCAAAAATACCTTGAGACTTCAGTTCATAAACAAGCTGCTCCACCAGCCTAGGATCCCCAGGCATGTAAGTATTTCCCATAACCTCCATCAGTATTTTCAACGGATTTCAACTTCTAGGCAGAAAAAACACCAATTTCAATTTGATAATTTTGCAAACTAGCAGAATAATTAATCAATAAAAAGTGTTTAGCAACATTAGAAGATGATTACAAAACGCTAACGCTGATTGACGTTTGACACTACTACTTCGACGTTTGACATTGACAGCTCTTCTACTCTTCTACTTCTACTTTTAGTTTTCAATAATAGACTATCGTTTTATCAATATTTGCTGCGAGAGTTCAGAGACACTTTGGTCCAGAATTATTTCGAATCCTTAGGCTGTTTAATGATGCTGTTTTAAACAAAATATTACTTACTTGCACGTTTATGACGTCACTTACTACCTTAGATCATACATGAATCTTACATGAATCGGACTGCCACGCCGGCGTCCCGAGTTCTATTCCTCCCAGAGTCACTCAACATAAACAGGTTTATGTTTGGTGCCAGGGTCAACTTTTTATTAGGTATTTTCACTTTTCAGCTTGTTTTCTCAAAGAATCTGCTGAAAAATATACTTTCTAGAAGCAAAGTTCATTTATGCCGACTCAGGTTAGAATGTTTAGGAAAAGTATTCTTCTTTTTTACGGTTATGCAGCATTCGCCTATAGCTCATGCTGCAAACTTCATTCTGGTAGGAAATCACTATCATTCCGTGCTCGTTAAACAATATACTATTTTCTTTGAATCTCGTCGGAATATATTTTGTATTTTTCGATATAATTTATAATAAAGTTTATTTGTGGTAAAGTTCAGTCTTTCAGGAATATCTCTGGGGCTAGCCTACTGACAAACCGTTGGAAGAACCCAAATATAGCCAACAGATTGAGGGCAACGTGACAGATTACTATGCAACCAAAAGAATAGCTACATATAATATCGTTCTCGTTTTGCATAGGTGAAAAAGAGAAGCCGCATCGAAAATGGTCAGATACAGGGTGGGCCACCAGTAACGCCTCGGTCTCTAGAAGGCTAACCACTTATCTTCTTGGAATTCTTCCTCTCTAGGAAGTTGCATGTCAACATAGGCTACCATTTAAAATTATTTCGAAACATACAGGGTGTCCCCAAAAACCATAAAACACTGAAGTTAAACTTTTTTCTATCGAACACCCTATATATTATTTCATTTTGAGATTCTCCCTGATGAGCTGATTTCAACGACCTATCTTACTTGGGGTCTAGCAGTTATAATTACTGAAATATAGGGTGTGAAAAATCGAGATTTTCCAAGTTCAAGAATTTTTTTGTCGAAACTATTCATAATTGGTCAAAACGGCTTACATGTCCCTATCTCAACTTTTGATTAACTATCTACTGATATTCAATTGGGACATATACCGGGTGATCAAGATTCTGAATTCTGCACCACCCTGTATTTGTTTCAATTAAATGTCAGTAGATAGTTGATCAAAAGTTGAGATAGGGACATGTGAGCCGTTTTGACCAATTATGAATGGTTTAGACACAAAAAATTCTTGAATTTGGAAAATCTCGATTTCTCACACCCTAATATATCTCAGTAATTATAACTGCTAGACCCCAAGTATGATGGATTGTTGAAATCAGCTCACCAGGAAGAATAACAAAATGAAATAATATATAGGGTGTTCGATAGAAAAAAGTTTAACTTCAGTGTTTTATGGTTTTTGGGGACACCCTGTATGTTTCGAAATAATTTTAAATGGTAGCCTATGTTGACATGCAACTTCCTAGAGAGGAAGAATCCCAAGAAGATGAGTGGTTAGCCTTCTAGAGACCGAGGCGTTACTGGTGGCCCACCCTGTATATATGGCACTCACATGGCAGTCAATATCATCATTGTTGAAGACTGGTTAATGATACAGTGTGTGCGATATTTCAACAACACAACACCTTCCTAATTTGAAACCCGTTGACCGATTTTCCAAAACAAAAAGACCATAATACAGGGTGATTAATTGGGAAATGCGCATACTGTAATAAGGGTAGATGGAGGACACCGAGGTGCTTCTGAATCATTTATTTTTCATGGGTCTATCGTTCTTTATAAATAAGATGTATATATTATATAGCAAGAGATTCATTAATTTTCACCATTTTAGCGATTAATCATAACTTATATGAACCACACTCTATACATTTTCAGGATATTTGGTACGTATGTTCTTTGCTCACAGTGGTGACGACTAACATTATAAAAAATAGTATTCCAGGTCCGGCCTTGAAAAAAAATAATAAGTAATAAGTTTCGAGTCGAAACAACACCCGGTATATATACCAATATTTTAAAATTTCATTCACAAATTCGGAAAAACCAGCAAAAAATAAGTAGGTCTGAATATATTTGGTGTTTCCGCATCCAACTTTTCTACCTATTAACTTTTGAGTCGAATCTTGATGTTCCCGATAATGAGATGGCACAAAAATTAATTTGTATACCCCAAATATAGTACTTCAACATTTCAAATCCATAAAATCATCAACTATTTCTTATTCTCCTAATTTTTTGATCCCAACCCAATCGAAAAACGACATGCAAGTCCGTATTTGGGACGAATTATCATTATTATCAATAATGACTAACTTTAAACACCCAGTATGTGTAAGAAATTCATCAAAACTTTTGTTTATTGCCCTACATATCTAGAACAAAAATTATGAAAATGAGGAAGAATATGCCAATTCCGAAAAATTCATATATAACTACGTTTTACAACAAAAATAACTTTGCAACAAATCTACATTTTTGAGGTTAAACATAAATAACAGTAGGTCAAAAAACTAGAATTTTCATTATCCGCGTCTAATTATTTTTATGCACAGCCGGGCGTAAAGTAACACTTTAGTGCCCTAGAGCGTTAAATGAGTACGGCAGGCGGTAAAGTAATGTATTATGAATGGGTATCAGTTAACTCACTCGTCGTCGGCTGTTTCATGTTCAGAGATCTGAAGGGGCCGCTGCACGTGTTCCTTGCGGTTGCGTGCGGCACCGATTCCACGAATTTGCTGTAGATACGGGGGTATGGAAGATTATTTCGCGCGATGCAAATGTACCTGTGATGATTCGAAAGTTGACTGTGGTCGAAATATTCATGTGATAGGCGTGGTTGGGCATTGAATAGGTACGAATGAACCAAAAATAAATTGAGAATTAAAGTTTATTCGAATATTACTAAAAAAATCGACAATAATAATTGCGTACATATACCAAAACAAAAAATTTAAATACTCATGGGTATATCAAAAGAAATCCTAATCAAAATGTTTTGCTGAAGAAGAAATCCAATGAAATCAGTGAATTTTTGGTCATATAATCGATCACAACTAATCAAACCAACATCATTATAATAACTACATTCAGTGTATCAATCACTATGACAACACGGTTGACATCGCCTACTTCAAAACATTTTCTGCCGAATATCCCTCGGACATTGACAAATGCCTCATAATTTTATGACAAATCTCTCAAGCTCGTTGCTTGGTAACAGCCCTCAGCCGTCGCTTCGGGCTGTTACCAAGGAACGAGCTTTCGATTGTCATAAAATTATCTCGTCTATTATCAATGTCCCAGGGATATTACTACTGATAATTGACTACATATTCTATAGGAAATAATTACAAATGCTTTAGTATTGAGAGTTTTGTATTCACTTTGGATACTCTTCCGGTTTTTATGCTTCGATTAGCAAATTTCAATGTGAAATAAATACGGACTCTGCAATATAAATTAATAAAATAGTCTAAAGGAAAGTTTTCACATGGGTGACTAAAAGTTATTTTTGCGAAGTGTTTTTTTAGTGTGCTTCCAATATTTCCTTGAGGAACCAGTTCCTCGAATTCACGAATAAAAATATCCTCCAATGCTACAACAAATTCGACGATATTTCTAAAGGGCACAACTAAACCTCCCGATGTTGTGTTACTATAAGATTTAAGGTTGCAGAAAACGATTTCCCTGTCACTCAAATTATTGAGTTTATGGAAATTGCTACAAATTTCACATGCATGTTGTGAGAGACATTTTCTTAAGAAATAGCCGGTTACATAGACTAACGAGTTGCCTTCAGGACTTTGGAGATTTCGATAATCGGTTGTATAGACTTTAAGTGGAGTGTATGTAGGTTTAGCTATTAGATTTTGATTCACATTTTCAACGATGTTGTTTGAAGCGATATTCAATAAGACTTCATTAATATCTTCCATACAATTTGCACCGTCTGTTTGATCAAAATATTTTAAAGCAAACATTTTCTTGAACGAACGACAAAATTGTATAGGAGTTGGATTCTTAACATTTCCACAACAGTTCCTAATTTGTCCGAAAAAATTTTCCAAACAATCTTGATTAAGATTTCGAGTGAACATGTATCTATATCCTTTGGCCTGTAATTTGTTGAATAAAATGAGAATTGAATTGATAGTCAATCGCCAACCAAAAATGAATTTCAACTGTTTGGTTACATTTTTGCCATCTATATTTTCAACACGTAAATCTTTGAATAAATCATTCATTTCTTTCAAAAATGAGATTTGTTTTTCGGTTCCCATAAAGGCTCCAAAGTTAGAGAGAGTGTTTGAATTCAAAATGTCGAAAAATAAATTAATTTTTCTTATAAAATCCATAGTGGGTCTTGCTTCTTCTGATATAACTCCAAAATCAATATATGTAGACATTGCAACTGCAACCGAATGACTGAATACCTGAGATGCTAATTTAACTTTCATTTTCTGAAAATTGTTTGGAAAAATATGATCGTTGGATAATTTTGGTGCAAGTCTATATTGTTTTTGTCTCTCGAAATTATACATTTGTTCTAAAAATCCTTTATTTGTTTCTCCATTATTGAATATGAATTTATAAGAGAAAAAGTTATTCCTCGTTGATTTTAAAAGATGTAGTACGTCGAATAGATAAACAACTTCTTGATCATCAACCTTGAAAACAGGATTATCTTAGTTTTCACCAATTTATAAAAATTTGAACCTTGATCAGAAACAACAGCGTGGACACTTAAGCCGGTTGCAGTTAATTTTCTAATTGTCTCAAATATAATTTTTTTCAATTCTTCGGAGTTTGGAGAAGTCTTATAAAAAAAATATGCTAATGGTTGTCTCCAATTATTTGCAATACCCCTAGCCATAACAACTAAAGCGTTGCTCGCAATATCTGAAG